CAGTCAGTCTCTGAGCCCACCCAGAACAAATGCAGAAGACACTAGCATAGAAGAAATTGGAAATCACACACCTGAAATCTCTGAAATAATAGCGTCTGAAGTAAAGAAACAACTACAGAAAGGTATAGAGGAAATCAGATCAGAAATAATTTCTGAAGTAATAGAAATGATAACTATACTGAAAGAAGTACTAAATACTTCTAAAGAAGACACTGATAAAAAAATATAGAGCAGAATATAAAAATGATGGAATCCTTGAATAAGCAATATAGGAAAGAAATAGAATGTATGAAGGGGATCCAAAGTGATATACAGGAATTTAAAACCTCAATCACAAGCTGGCAAAACTGAATGAAAGTGAGAATAGACTTTCAGACCTTAAAGACACCATTGCAGCTAGTGAAAAAGTAAGAAAAGATCTCTTAAAAACAACTAGCACACAGGAAAAAATAATTCAGTAACTGCAAGATGATGCAAAGATGAACAATGTGTGACTAATAGGCATCAATGAGAAGGAAGGAGTCAATACAAATGATATAAAAAGAGTATGAATGGAAGTAATAACAGAAAACTTCCCAAATATGGGGAAACTATCTGTCATTCAGGTAAAGGAAGCATATAGAACTCCAAATAGCAACCCAATTAAAACCACACCCAGACATAAAATAATCAAGATCCCAGAAATTCAGTACAGGAACAGTATATTAAAAGCCATTAAAGAAAAGAAACAGATCACGTTTAACGGAAAACCCATCAGGATAACGGGACATTTCTCTTCACAAACCATCAAGTCAAGAAGAGCATGAAGCAAAGTACTTCAAGTCTTGCAAGAAAACAAATTCCAACCCAGACTGATATACCCTGCAGAACTCTCAAGTATAATGGAGAAGTGAAATACTTCCATGACAAAGAACAACTTAAGAATTTCATGATGACAAAGCCAAACCTACACAGACTAAAAGATGTTCTAGAGAGGGAGCAAAATGGCCACAAGTCCATGAAGGAGAATGGAAAGAACCCACCAAATAGGGCAAACAATTAAACACAGGAGCATAAGAGGTATACAAAAGCAGTCTTTCAGTTATTCTTTTGTATACAGCAGCAAGATATTTCCATCAGTATACTCTGCAAATGGACCTCTCCTGCACCTTATGGGTCATGACTCTGTCTAGGTCTATAGGGTAGATATCAAGGAAATAGCAGTAGCTCAGTCCCACAAGTGACACCTGGACACCAGTACGTGTTATGGACATTATCCATGTCCATGACACCACTAGAACTTTGTGTAATATCCTATCCCCAAACTGTTAGAAGTACTGGTCATTTATTTGTCATTCCAGTATTTATCTTATGTTTTATTCTTAGTACTTCTTTACTATCATGAAAACGTCTTAATTTAATTGTTTTGAACCATTTAATTTTTAATTAGTATTTTTCTCAATATTGCTTAATGTCAATTTTTGTTTTAAGATTCATACTGTATATTTGACTTACAATCTATTTAAAAGACATGGTATGATATTTTCTCCTCGTATTAGAAACTTTAAAAAGTATGTTTCCATTTTCCATTGACTTTATATTACTTCTTCCCTATCTTTTATACACACACACACACACACACACACACACACGACAAAATATGTGTATAACCCGACATAAGATTGATACTGTTTCCTAGACATCTTTATTGACCTTTTAAATGGGTTCATCTAATATATTTTACATAGTCCTGCATAACTGTCATTTTTTTTTATAACTGTCATTTTGAGAGCTCTTTATTCTTCATCTAGGAGCATACAGCAACTTCTCTTGCCTTCTGAATTATGCTCTTTGTTATTTCCTATATGCTACATCTGAGGTATTAGAATATTTCGAGTTTGTATAACTGGAAAATATTTTACTTTTAGTTTTCACAGGTATGTTTGCTAAGTATAAAATTCAAAGAGGACATATCTGTTTTTCCTTTCAGTCCTTTAATTAGTCTAGTTTCTTACACACTTGCTTTTTTTTTTTTCTAATGTGAAATAAGATGCTATTTAATTTTGTTCTTCCATAGATGATTTTTTAATGTATCTGCTTTGATTTTTTCTTTATAATAAGTTTTGGACAATTTCATGTTTGTGTATCTGGGTGTGATTTTACTCAAATTTCTTGTGCAAAAGGTTCATTTTTCTTGGAAATGTGGTATTATAAGTTCAACTAAATTCAGAAATTATAAATATTTATTGCCTCCCTCTTTCTACTTTGAGCATTCTAATTATATGAATATGTTTCTTGATTTTGACACAGTGAACTGATACTGATCTGTAAATTCTTCATTTTTATTTTGGACAGTTTTTATTGTTTATATTCATTTAAGTTTGTAAATAATTTATTTTAAATGTGCAATTTTTAAAAATGCTAACAAATTGAAAAGCATTAAAATTAAAAGAAAATCTTAAAAATAAAAA